AGACATCAACCCATGTTTCAATGCCACTTCAGCCAATTACACTAATTCAATTTTAGTACACAAGAGCATTGGTTTTCACGTCTTTATTCTTGCTAAATTCCTTATTTTATTCAATGCCCTTAAATTCAAGCCAATGCTAACTAAGTCACGCTATTTTACATTTAATAAAATTAAACCTTTCTTTTGGGCATAGTCAATTCAATCATCTATAATTACGCTCAGACGACTAAGTTTTTAGTGCAATTTCATTAAACAGATATATATCAACTGTTGTTTTATTTCGCTTTGCAGAATCCAATTACTCCACCCTTCAAACTTCGTTGGTTATGACAACTCAGGCTCCTCCTCACAATGGAAATTTCCCAGATGCCACAAGCATCTACTCCCAAACTCTGGGTCATCTACCCACAGGTACACGGGTCCTTTCGCCCAATTTCCTCACCGCCTCTCAACCAACATCAGGATCTGTCATCCCGACTCCTAAAAGACCTCCTACTGGTAGAGTGGTCTACGTCGACAGTGCCACTGGCAGAGTAAGTATAGCATGCTTGCAACATGAGATGATATTGATGGAAGTAGAATTTAATTAACAAAGCAGAACGCTGAGTTTCGCTCGTGCCTGAAACTGCTATATCATGTGAACTTGGCCTTATTATCCGCAGCCATTAGCTCTATTGTCCACCTACTAATACGGCCATTGTGTTCAGTAAATATGCGATATGATGTTGAGGCCTTTCTATTTAGCTGCTAATGGGAAGCTCGATGTGACTAAAATTTTTCTCAGAGGAAATTGCATTTTTCGTTACATGATCATCATTGATTCGTGGTCGCATTCGTGTTTCTATTGGCATTTTACTAACTGTCATTCCAGTTCCAACAGAATATTTGAAGTAAGAACAATTCTGTGTATTAATTCCAGTTCCAAGTAACATTACAATATTTTGTATTAGCTTATTCAACATCATGAGAAATTGAATTCATTGCATGACATTGTAGTCCTATTTGTGTACTACTGCGAACTAAATAACTAGTCAAAATAAGTAAGCATACAATATCTAATTGGATTTTTGGCTCTATTTATTAGTGCAAATCTAGAATTCAGTTGCAGATTTACAGAACCATGCATGTCTGCTTGTTAACCAGCTCTCCCTTTAGAGTTCATTTTGTAAATAGTAACTAGAATAAAGCACAACAATCACATCCATTTTAATCTCGCTCATCTAGGTGATACCGGATAGTCAGTTGGTGCCGGTCCAACGACCCTTGAACATGGTGGGAAGTGGTTTCAGTTCAGCACCAGCTTCCCAAGTGCCAACAGTTGCCACCTCGCCCATCGGAGCTCCCACTGCAGTGATTGGAGGCGCTATAGCAGAGGACCTCATGAACACCGCTTCTGCTGCTGCGGCCGATGCAAAATCAGCAAGCACTACTGGAGACGTGGCAACTACTGCCTCTGCGGTGGCTAGTAGTAGTCTTCCACAGCTCATCAGGTCCAGGCCTCATGGGCCTCCTCCACCAGCTCCTGAAGTAAGTTCGCTATTCTAGATGGAATGTTATGAATGTCTACCCTATCGCTCATTTCAAGTCCATTCCAAAGCGAGGTAGGCCTTGAAATAAGTTACCACCACTTCTATGATCTTCACATTGAGCTGAATGGGATATTAAATATTTATTTATTTATTTCAAATGGCAGGCGTTATGATAGGTATCATTGGCCTTTTAGTTGACTTCGGGCTTCACAGAAAGGAAGATGAACATCCAAGTGGTAAAAAGTCGAGAGGGGGAAGAATAATGATTCACAGACGTAAAAGAGACAGACAGACACAAAGGTAGAGAAAAAGGTGAGGTGAATACTGTGGAATTATTCGAATATGAAATGCAATGGGGTCATGGTAGTTTGAGGTCAGAAGTCAATTGGCGGTTTGTAGATTCTTTTGCCGTCTGAGTGAACGTTGTTCGGGTTGCATCACGAGGAAGTGAGTCTATCACGCAACCCTTGTGAGCACCTGTTTGGGGGTATTTAATTCGAATTAAATGATTTTTCGCTACTCAGACATTATGGTACTATCAACTCATGGTAAAGGCATAAATCGGGTTGTTGAGGGATCAAAAGGTAGATGGGTAATCGAAAAATCTTAAATCCATGTCATTTATACTAATTCATAATTTATGGTATAAGTTGCGCGATGCAGCATTAATTGCTTTGCCAAATTTTTTATTGGTTAATTAAGGACTACTTATTCAAATGCAATATGGAAAAAGTTACCTTGTCATAAACTGTCATTTATTTTTAAAATGACTGATTAAATTCCTTGACAATTTTCTTGGGTACCTGAGATGATGCATTTGGAGAAAATTGAGTGATAATTGTTTCAATTTCAATTTGCATTCGAAGGAACAGCTTACAACTTATTCCAAACTGTTGCTTTGAGAAATTTTAATATAATATATAATATATAATAAATTATATATTCGCACATATTATATATATGTAATTAAAAACTATGATTTAATAAAATGCTAAAATCAAAACTAATTAATAGAGACAGTGCAAAGGAATGGTAAGTTCCGTTAAAGCATTTTTGACAACACTTGTTGGCACTGTTTGTCACGATTAATGATAAATTTACCTGAATTTGAAATCAGACCCTATTAGCCTTTAAATATTTTTTAATGATTACCACATACCTATCAAATTATGCTCTTGTGAAATTTAATTTCGCGTTTAAAACAAAATCGATTTTCATGCTAAAGTATGATTACAGCATCTTGAATACGACTGTCAATGATAATTCACCTACAGCGTATAAACCCCAAGCAATTTTATGCTGCATATTTTCAATCTCTCTCACATTATTCATTTAATATAAACAGGTAAATTGAGGTTCCCGTTGTGATACCTTTGCAAATTATTACATGTGTACGGCTGTGAGAAAATTTCCATAAAAAATTACCAACGTTTTCGACCATGTTTGTTTTTCTTGAAAAAAAACATATTTTTAGTCTTCCTGTTAAGTAATTATA